ATTAAGTTTATATTCAATCTGACAACAATTATACTGTTACGTTGAACGGGTGATTAAAGTCGACGTGGGTAAAATTCATCAATTTACTTCTCAGTAACTCAAATTTACAGGACTAATAACACAGCGATTATGCATAAAATAATTCCTCCAAAACTGAATTCGTTCACTGGACTTCTCGGTGACTGAATAAACAGAATAATCTTCGTTCTCGACGGTGGCATCTTAATGGATCGAGAACGCCGCTTCGAGGTTTTTCTTGGTTGCCCGTCGCGACTTCCGCTTCCAGGCTCTTCGGTAGCGGACGCCGCCCACCCGATGAGTCATCATTTCCGTATATACTAGAGAGCTCTCGACGCCCCATAGGCGTCGCATGGGTTTATTTCGTAACAATAGTTATATATTAGATAAAGTTTCCAGTATCAGTTTTACATCTGTTGATAATAAGTTGGAACTCTGCAGATAATTCCCACACGATTCATTTATACCATGTTGATAGTAAAAAATATAAATTGTGTCTTACTAGTATTTATAGACACATTTTTTGAGAATTAGTAATATAGTTTATTGATAGCAGTTATCATTAAGTCTTTTGTCACTGCTGATTTATTGTGGACAAGTGTTTTACATTTGTGTTACAGTTCTACAGTGCGACATAATTCAGATAAGATTTCCGTGCGATAAAGATTTAAAAACAGAATGGTTCTGTTTAATATTGTTTCTTTTACGATGAATATAATTTATGCGGATAGATAGCTTTTGACGTAGACTAGGGATAACGCTTATAGATTTTTCACTAATTACACGTGTTTAAATTATGACGACGGTGTGATGTTATCAGTTTATTATTTATTGTGACAAAAATATAAGGTAGAGGAGTATTGTAATAGGGCCCACTTCATGAATGACTAATTTAATGTTTTTTCGAAGGGTCATAGCTCTTGAGGATTTTGTTAGATAGATCACTTCTGAGTTATCTATTATAATATCGGTACAGTGTAAAACTGGCTTGGGAAAAACCCTCCCTCAAATTTATCAGCCAATAGGCAGTTGAACACGCGCTGATCACGCGTCTCTATTGCTGATTCTTTCACTTGAATATACTATAACAGTGTTGTAAGGTTTTATCACAGATTAATGTAGATGCGACATACAGGCTGATTTTGCAAAACTACCCTTATTGACATTGGAGTCCTCAACCGCCAAAGCCAAGCGCCAAATTTAAATAGTCCAACTTGTTTGATCTACAGACCAGAGCGCGCTCAGGCCAATGTGGACTCTAAGCGTTCAGAAGCGATTTGGTTGGTTTGGACTATAATTTCTGCGGGAAATAGTTGTTTGGTCGGTTTTTATAACGACTATTTAAGTGAATATTTTTGGTACATATTTAGTTGATTTTACATATTTTGTTTTACTAAGAATTAATTCTTTATTTGTGTTTTATACGGGAAAATGTTTTGGAAACACTGTTCTATTTTGTATGAATTTTTAAATGTTTTTAGTGACAATTTTTGTGGTTGTTTTCGATACACTGTATGATATTAACAGTGAGAAAAAAAAAAATGAAAAATTAAAATAATCGAAAATTCCAAAACTCGAGAAATCGAAAAATCAAAAGATCAAGAAATCGTGGAGTCGAAAAGTCGAACAATTGAGAAACCGAAATAGGCGAAAATCGAAAAATCGAAGTTAAAAATTGAACAATTTATAAATTGAGAAATTGACAATCCAAATATAGAAAAATCCAAATCTCGATAAATCGAGAAATTAAAAAACTTAAAAATTGAAAAATTGAGAGATTGAAATATCAAAAGAACGAGAAATCGAAAAGTGATGAAGTCGAAAAATCGAAAAATAGAGAAATCGGCAAATAAAAAGTTAAAAGTTGAAAAATTGGAAAAGCGGAAAAATCAAAAAACGAAAAAATGCAAAACTGGAAAAACTGAGAAACCGAAATAGGTCAAAATAAAAAATTGAAATACGGATAAATCGAAAACTGAACAATCAAATCTCGATAAATCGGGACTGAAAAATTCACAAATCGAAAAATTGGAAAATAGAACATCTAAAACCAGGAAGTCGAAAAATCGAAAGATTAAGAAATATAGAAAAATTAAAATATCAAAAGATTGAAAAATCTAAAATTTAAAAATCCAAAAATTGAAAAATCGAAAAACTAAAAAGGTAGACATATCGAAAAATCCAGAAATCAAAAATAGAAAAGCCGAAGAATTGAAATATTGAAAAATCCTAAAACTGAAATATCTAAAAACTGAAATATCTAAAAACTGAAAAATCGAAAAATCAAAAAAGTGAAGTCGAAAAATAGAAACCTTAAAAAATCGAAAAACTGAAAAATCAAAACATGAAAAATCAAAAAATTAAAGAATTGAAGAACAGGAAAATCGAAACACTCGAAAGTCAAGAAATTGAGAGTATATAAGAGTCAAATTTGAAAAATTGAAAAATCGAAAATTTGACAAAATGACAATTGAAAAACAGAAAATCTAAAACCGGGAAGTCGAAAAATCGAAAGATTAAGAAATCAAAACATTTGAAAAATTCGAAAACTTGAAAAATTCAAATATCGAAGAACTGAACTGAAAAATCGAGAAATCGAAAAATCTAAAATTTTAAAAATTCAAAAATCAAAAATTGAAAAATCGAAAAAGTAAAAAAATCGACACATCGAAAAATCCAGGAGTCAAAAATCGAAAAATCGAAGAATCGAAATATTGAAAAATCCCAAAACTGAAATACTGAAAAACTGAAAAATGAAAGAAAAACTAAAAATGGGAAACAATCGGGAAATCAAAACATTGAAAAATCGAAAAATTCAAAACGACAATTGAAAAAAAAAAACTCTAAAACCGGGAAGTCGAAAAATCGAAAGATTAAGCAATCGAAAAATTGAAAAATCGAAAAAGTAAAAAAATCGACACATCGAAAACTCCAGAAGCCAAAAATCGAAAAGTCGAAGAATCGAAATATTGAAAAATCCCAAAACTGAGATATCGAAAAATTGAAAAATGAAAGAAAAACTGAAAAATGGAAAACCTGAAAAATCCGAAAACTGAAATATCCAAAAACTGAGAACCTAAATGGTCGAAAGTCAAGAAATGGGAAAATCAAAACATCGATTAATTGAAAAATCGAAAAATTGACCGTTTATAAATGTCAAATTTGAAAAATTGAAAACTTGAAAAAACAACAATTGAAAAATAGAAAATCTAAAACCGAGAAGTCAAAAAATCGAAAGATTAAGAAATCGAAACATTTGAAAAATTGAAATATGGAAGAGCTGAAATGAAAAATCGAGAAATCGAAAAATCTAAAATTTTAAATACCTATTGAAAAATTAAAATACCAAAAAATTGAGAAATCTAAAATTAAAAAATCGAAAAAGTAAAAAGTCGACACATCGAAAAATCCAGAAGTCAAAAATGGAAAAGTCGAAGGACAGAAATATTGAAAAATCCCAATACTGAAATATCGAAAAACTGAAAAATGAAGGAAAAACTGAAAAATCTCAAAACTGAAATATCCAAAAACAGAGAATCTAAAGAATCGAAAAATTGAGAAATCGAAAAATCATAAAAGTGAAGTCGAAATATCGAAACCTTAAAAAAATCGAAAAATTGAAAAATCAAATACTTGCAATATCGTAAAATCGAAAAATTGAACAATAAGTAAACTGAAAAATTCCAAAACTGAGAAATTAAAAAATTGAAAAATGAGAACTCGAAAAATTAAAAAAGTGAAATTGAAAAATCGAAACCTGAAAAAACAGACAAATTGAAAAACCATAAAACCTGAAATGAAAATCAATTAATTGAAAAATCGACAAACACAGAGTTTATAAAAATCAAAAATTGAAAAATCGAAATATTTAAAATCCAAAAATTGAATAATAACTAGGAGTAAACTGAAAAGTCCCCAAACTAAAATTTCGAAAAACTGAGAATTCGAAAGTTGAAACAGCAAGAAATTATGGTCCAAAGCGATTAGGATGTGTATCAGATCACGGATCATGGCTTATAATCTTATAAATCAAATCGTTAGGGTCGACATTGGCCAGAGTGCGCTCTGGTCTGTAGATCAAATAAGTTCTCAGACGACGAACTGTAATTCGTGTGACCTGAATTAAAGTGAAGGAAACAGTAAACAGCTTGTAATATTCTGGTAAATCTAGTGTCAATTTGTGGAAAGTAAAACGCGTCGTTAAAAATATTATGACATTCTTTCTGTTGTAGTTAATTTTATTCCTAGTTAGAAACAAACACTATTGCCAACATAAGTCGAGGAGTCCTCAACCGTCATTTAATTTAAACTATGACGCTTCTCTGTGTTCTCTGGTTTTATTAAGTCTTCACAAATTAATTGTAAATTATTAAATATTTGGCATTAAACGTAATTAATCTGTATTCTTTGAATATTATTAAATACATATTATATTACATACATATAAAACAAGTTTGAATAATAAAAGCAGTAACATTTAACAGAAATTAATTTACCATACTCAGTCAAGTTTTCTTTCATTGAATTGAGAGAAATTAGATTCTTCTGTAATATTGAATTTACTTTATTGATCAAATCAAAAACGGCTCATCCCATTTTCCCGAAAATTTGAGTATACAGTACTGTTAATAATAAGAGTACTGCAGCTATTCAATGTGTCCAAGTTAAGGTTTTATTATACAGCGAGGGCTAACATGTTTCGGTATCTACTGGTACCATTACTTTGAGGAAATGATCTGAACTACTAGACTTGACAAAATTCTTTTAGGGGAAAATTCACTTGTAACATACGCATCGCGTGTTATTTTATTTATAACCCCTATAACAACATTTTTATGACAACCTTTTTACTTTTTACTTGTTTTAAATATTTAAAATAACACAGAAAAACAAAAAGAAAAGATGGTATTTAGCTCGAAGAATATGCCACAGAATTTATTATGAAACTTTAGATTATATATACTTTATTTTTGTGTTTTCAGGTAATATAATGAAATTCATCTGTGACGATGGCAGGACCGTCTACAAATTAACGGACTTCGGAGCCGCCCGCGAACTACCCGAAGGACAACATTTCCAATCTCTCTACGGAACAGAAGAATACCTCCATCCTGATCTCTACGAACGCGCAGTATTACGAAAACACGTTAACAAAACATTCGGAGCCACCATCGATTTGTGGTCGATAGGCGTTACGCTTTACCACGTAGCTACCGGAAACCTACCATTCCGTCCATATGGAGGCCGCAAAAACAAAGAAACGATGCATTTAATCACCACAAAGAAAGCAAGTGGTGTAATATCAGGCATTCAAGTGACGGAAGATGGACAAATCGAATGGCGAAAAACTCTGCCAGAAAGTTGCCAGTTGAGTCCGGGACTGAAAAAAATAATCACCCCACTTCTAGCGGGGTTGTTAGAAGCAGACACCAAGAAGATTTGGACATTCGAGAAATTTTTTACGGAAGTCACTGACATGCTGTCGAGAAAAATCGTGAATATTTTCCACGTCAACAAAGCGCAGTTGATCAAGGTGTATATTCATCCGGATGAGAGTTATACTCACCTGCAGAATTATATTAACGAACAAACAGAAGTCAGCACTGAGAATCAAATATTGCTGCTGAAGCCGAATTTGTTTACAGATATCGTTGAAGAAAATAGTAGAGCGGGAGGCTACCCGGAGACTAAAGAGGAAGAACCTCTGTTTCTTTTCAATAAAGAAAACAACAACGTGACGGTGGTTCCTGAACAAAGCCTTCCTAAGTTCAATGAGTTCAGCAATGTGACTTCAGTTGAAAGTGATGCCGCACAAGCCAAAAACGCGTGCAGTATAGGTTATTTGTGTAAAAGACGAATCGAAAAATATTCACTGGCCTGTCGTCACTTCACTAACTGTGTTGAAAATTTTGTTATGTATATCAACAAAGAACTGAAGGAGGTCAATCAAGTTTGCGTTCATCTATTAGAAAAGACTACTATACATAAGAAGACGGCGCATTTTTTAGAATCCTCGCAACGGCTAGCTTCATTTAAGTTAAATAACGTTCCGCAGATTACTTACGTCGATGAATTGAAACAACTCAGCGAAAGTTTTGTGTCTGAGACTGCCAAAAAAATAATGCAACTCAACCAGAGTCATGTGATAGAGAATTCTTTGCAGTCTGAGTGGGACACGTCTAGCCGCCCTTTGAAGTGTCCTGTGAAATCCAGAGCTTCTGAGAGGGCAAGGACTGAGGTTGAACGTTTGAGAGATTCGTGGCAACATTTGGTACGAGATAGGGCTACTCGTACTCTCTCTTACAACGACGAACAGTTCCATATTCTGGAACGAATTAAAATCACACACACGATAAACGGAAGTAAACTTCTTCTACAGAAAGAAGTGTTCCCGCAATATATGCAATTAGCTGAGAATTTGGGTGACTGGTATAAAATTGCTCAAACTGTGTACTTACAGTTGATGATACTAAAGAGGGATGTTTTGAACTATGACAACAACTTGAAGAAGTTTGAGTTGGAGATGTTTATTAAAAACGAGGAGTATTTAGAGCAAGTACGAAAATTGCTTGAACAGGACGCCACTGATAACTCAAGCAAAAAAATGAAGAACTCTAATAATCAAAAGCTGAAGATGTGTTTGACTGAGTACAGGAGAGAAAATGGTCAGATCAACGATCTTATTTCGGAAAATGCACAAATTGTGGAACAAGTTAATCGTATTTTGGACGAATTGACTGTTGAAGAAGACTAGGCTTACAATTTGTAGGTCAGAAGATTGGTGCTGTGAGACATTTGTCCAACGTTTCATGTTTCATAAATTTTGTATTTTGAAGAATTTGATCAAGTTGATACGGATTTTTTTATCAACTGAGATTTTCTTTATACACTAAGTATTATATATATGTATCTTTATTACAGAATTAAATAAATGTATTTTTGTTTTTTTGAAGTATTAACATGGCTCTAACAAAGAAATACTGTATATAGTTATGTATATGGTGCATATGATATTTGAAAAGTTCTTTTTAATAATAATGAAAAAACTTTCAGAGTTTAAATAATATGTTTGTAGTCACTGCTATACGTGTTTCGGTACACAGTACCGTCTTCAGGCAGAAGAGAAACTGCGGTTTTTACAGAGCTATTCCTGAATTTATATATATAGTATAAATTCAGGAATAGCTCTGTAAAAACCCCAGTTTCTCTTCTGCCTGAAGACGGTACTGTGTACCGAAACACGTATAGCAGTGACTACAAACATAGAAGAAAGAAGAAGAAGAGAAACTGCGGTTTTTACAGAGCTATTCCTGAATTTATATATATAGTATAAATTCAGGAATAGCTCTGTAAAAACCCCAGTTTCTCTTCTGCCTGAAGACGGTACTGTGTACCGAAACACGTGTAGCAGTGACTACAAATATATTATTTAAACTCTGAAAGTTTTTTCATTATTATTAAAATTAATATGGAGTTTAAACAAGTATCAGCCTCATCAATACAAACTTTGAAAAGTTCATTTAACATCTACATAGTGTAATTTATGAAGCTGATTTCAAAACAAAAATAATAGGTTTTATAAAAAAGATGGGTTCAAAGCTTAAAAGAAAAATGCCTGTTTTTTTATGTTATGCAACCAAGAATACCCACATTTGTCCGTTGAGAACTCCTGTGGTGGGGGAAGATTCTCGTTAAGTTGGCTGCGCCACAGACTATACAGACAAGACACATACCCACTTTGAGCGAACGTGACCCTTATTGACGACTTACCTCAACCGTCACTTCATACGCGCGATTTTTAAACGCAAGGACTGCCACTTTACAACACAATCTCGGATAAAAGCCAACATAATGTTAAAAAAATACATCAACAGAAATTTAAATTATATAATTTTTAAATATTATGTTTAACTTACTAAAATAATAAAGACGTTCATACGTACGTTCATAGTCAAAAAAAACATGAACAAGCTAAAAAATTTATGAGTGCTATTAATTAAATTTATACATTTTTTAAAAGTGAGTGAATGATTATATTGTATTGTATTGTGTATTCTGTCGCCGCAGGACTCACAGGAGTGCGTTGCACTTTACACGTCTTGGTCGGACCCATTTTGAGGTTATATGTGGTTATGTTGTCAACCCAAAGCACGGTTGTAGAATAGATAAAGTCGCGATCTTTTCTATAGAACCACTCCCTAGTGTAAATTTTCAAAATTTGTTTGGTGTAAGTGACCTTGACGGGTTTCTGGGGGAAAACATATGTGTCAAAAATTTGACAGGTTAGATGGCCCCATTGTCAATGTGGATATTTTATTTTAATAAATAGATGAACAGAACATACAGTCTGCACGGGATACAGTGCGGCATAGCTGAGGGCAACCGAAACATTCGTGTTGTGCTAGTTTCGATTGCCATATCAACTACCGCTACCAACCGCGTTCGGCGTAAAGTACTAGATGACAGGGCTACCAACTTGACTTTTTATCGAGTGGTTCCGTAGAAATGACCGCTACTGTAGGTTTGTACACTAATGGCTTGGGATGGCGACGCTTCTTTTCGATCCCTATATCCATGGAAAGGACACATACAGCTAGCGCCTCTACCTTGTCGAGCGGAAATCATTCTAGTTATTTTGGGGATTTTCGTTTACATTGCTTTATGAACAATGCGAAATTTGTAAATGACATTTGATCGGAGTCGATAAGTACGATTTCTTTTATTAATTACATCGGTTATAGACAGATGCCTATAGAGTTCTGTGTCCCTAAAACGTCAAAAACCAGGCGACGCGATCGGCAATTGGCGTCGCTGACCAGGGATATGCAAATGTATGCTAGTGTATCAACCTATCTATTCTACAACCGTGACCCAAAGCAAGGAGGTTTAAATGTATATATGTACTTATATTCAATATCTCTGACCCGAAGTGTCAAAATTCTAGTTTTTCTACAGTAGCGGTCATTTCTACGGAACCACTCGATAAAAAGTCAAGTTGGTAGCCCTGTCATCTAGTATTTTACGCCGAACGCAGTTGGTAGCGGCAGTTGATATGGCAATCGAAATTAGCACAACACGAATGTTTCGGTTGCCTTTAGCTATGCCGCACTGTATCCGGTACAGACTGTATGTTCTGTTCATCTATTTATTAAAATAAAATATCTACATTGACAATGGGGCCATCTAACCTGTCAAATTTTTGGCACATATGTTTCCCCCAGAAACCCGTCAAGGTCACGTACACCAAACAAATTTTGAAAATTTACACTAGGGAGTGGTTCTATAGAAAAGATCGCGACTTTAGTTACATTCTCCTAAAAGTTTCCACTAAACAGGATAGCCACTACAGTATTTTGCAAATTTTTAAGCGGAATCAAGGTCATCCTTACCTAAACCGTCATTTTCCTGTGTTCAAGGGCAAAATAATTGAAATCGACTGTTTGGACTCTTGAATTAAAGACTATATTCGTTTGTCAGTGGTGGGGCAGTGACTTGTCTGTGTAGTCTGTGGCTGCGCTGACTTTGAGGCTTCCGAGTTAATTCGGCTTGCTGATTGGACGATGTGTTTTGCGTTGTGTCATTTTGAATCAAAACTTTCAAGAGTGTACGATGTTTTGTTTATACTTCGAAAAACGTTATACACATTTATACTATTTAGTTTTCATGTAGTTTTATTAAGGAACTCTTGCTGTGTTTTTCTGGCATCGTTTTAACAGTGAATAGTGGAAAATGGATCCCGAAAGGTAATTCTAAATTTTACCGGTTTTTGTGCTTTAACGTAACCTATAACGCAATATACTTTTAAACACTTCAAAACTTTGCTTTCTGTTTATGCAAACCCTTGTAAACATTACCACAATATTTTAACACTACTGTGCTTAGATTTTTTGTGTTTGGCTACAATAAGTTGTGTTCTTTCAGGCGAGCCATGGAAGATGACTCTCTCCAGGAATGTGAACGAAGGTTTCGGGAAATTTGTGTAAGTTATTGCTTTTCAAATTGTGTTATTATGAGAACGTAGGCAATGCTGCTGCTAATCAGCTAAAAAGTTTTATTATTAACATTTGAGAAACACCTAATTGCATATACGTACACTCAGAAACATTTTGTTGTCAATACAGAAGAGACCATTGGCAGAAAATGAAATATTTTTATGTTTAATTTGCAAAAGAAATGTGTTACGCTGCAAACAGATGGGTTATTGTAGATTTTTAAAGTAATTGATGTCGTACTTGAAGATTGAAGTGGTCATTTTGAATATTTAACAAATTTAGAATACGTCCCGTTCTGTTGCACTAAAAAGTTACAAAAGACTAATTATCTTAAAATTATGGTAAATATCTTACCGTGTTTGAAGTGCGTTGACAAACAGACACCATGAAAATAAATTCAAAAATAGCGCAAGTACTCCAGAAGAAGTCATACATTACTAGTAATTGTGAGTTTTCGTTTAATACAGAATGCAAAGAATTAAAAAACTCAGCAAAAGTTCTAATTGTGATGAGGAGTAGTTGCCCGGAAAACGCTTCATTGATTTTTGTGTTCATATCACAAATTTTAAAATGGTATAACATTAGTTTATTCATTTTTAGTTCAGGGTGTGGACTTTCAGTTACTTTTAATAAAAGTTGGTTTATAAATATTAAATGTTGTCGTGCCGTTAGTATTAAACCGCAAAATTGCGCCAAAACCATTGACGCAATCAGGTAAGTTATATTGTATGTTATAAAAGAAACCAAACAGGTATGGTATGTGTTTTTCGCCATGAAACAATTGAGATTTCCGATGGTTGATGTAATTATAATAAATATTTTTTTAGTCAGTAATAGGACCTCCAGAGAACTAAAAAGAATTTTATAAATTGGTACACAACACAATAAATATAATAAGGCACCGATATTTCATTTTGATGTTCATTTTTTCCACAAGTTCTTCATGGTGTAAAAATAAATTCATGCATTTAGTGAATCTTTCTTTCCTTCGAAGCGTAACGATCAGTATATTCATCGTGACGCCTAATTTGACCAAATGTACAGCAAACTTTGTGATAGTATTGTTGCTAATTTGATCCATGATTGTGTTTTGTGCTGCATAAAATATTACGCTAAAAAGAAAAAGAAGGCATAAAGCATAAAACCACAAGAAAGGTAGTGCTCGATATCTGGGTTTTGGTTTAAAGTTTTTGTCATAGTAAATTGGTGTAGTACAGAATATTCTTAGCAATTTGGATGATTTCAGTGTGTGGTGAAAGATGTGGAACATGTTGGAGAATCACTCATCAGAATGACGAATCCATACGGCTCGGTTGATTTCATTATGCGGAATTGATATTAAATTATGATCGTGATTTGATTGGTACAAATGATATGTGACGTTAAATTAAGGCTTCATATTGGTTACGTTCAATTCTATATTGAAAGATGTAATAAATAGTAATAATACATATCAAATGTTACACTGCTGTCAGTCTTATTTGTTTTATGAGGATTATCATACCAATAAACCAGTACCATCTCATCAAGATATTATTTGCGAATCACATTTTAAAGCAAACACAAAAAGGGACGCCGACGGTCGTTTTTGGGTTTCCCTGTCCATAAAAGACAATTGCATGCAATTAGGGTGGTAATCGATTTCTCAGTTTAGGAAAAAAAAACTAAATAGGGATGTAAATTTAAAATCAAAATACGTTGAAAGGATTCCAAATGCTCAATTAAGTAGTCTAAACACGTATTACATACCACATCATTCGGGTTTAAGGAAAACAAAAATTTAGGTAGTTTTTGACGGTAACATGAAGTCCGACAACGGTTTGGCCTTGAATCAAAATTTACTTAACACTTAACACTTAGGTTCAGAACATTTAAATATGTTATTAACACTGACATTGCTAAAATGTATCGACAAATTTATTTTGGCGCGAAAACGGAAGATCCTATGCAAGTCTATTGTCCAGTGGGTGGGCGGGGCTAAAATTTGCTAAGATAGGACTGAATAATATTAAGAGTAGTCACTGGAACAAAGAAGGGGTGGGTGGGCGGGGCTAAAATTTGCTAAGATACGACTGAACAATATTAAGAGTAGTCACTAGAACGAAGACGGGGTGGGTGGGCGGGGCTAAAATGTGGTAAGAAAGGTCTGAACAATATTAAGAGCAGTTACTGAAACGAAGAAGGGGTGGGTGGGCGGGGCTAAAACTTGCTAAGATAGGACTGAACAATATTAAGAGTAGTAACTGGAACGAAGAAGGGGTGGGCGGGCGGGGCTACTGCTTGGTTATAAAATCAGAAAAAAGTTAAATTTAGCTCCACCCACCTCCTTTCTGTATTTCACTGAATCAAATTTTCCACCGAACTATATTACACTTATACACTTAAAGAAACTAAAAAAGCCATTAGAAGAAGTTTGTCTTTAAAACAGAGTTACAAAAAACTTCATGAAATTGTTTTGCAATATTCTTTTTTGGGCAAATAATAAAATTGTTCAATAACGAAATTTTTTATGTTAACAAAATCAACAATTTAAAGAAGGAAATGATGTTAATATTCGGTGTTGCTACCCCTAGCATTCGTCTATTCATGGACCCAATTAAGGTGACGACAATTTTTTGCGGGATATTAGCTCATTCTTCTTCAATGGCTATTCTGAGCTCTTGGAGATAATCTGGAGGATTTACCTGTCATTTAACGAAGAAAAAACGAGCTTTCAGATGATATATTTTTTGCGAAACAGCCAAATATACACTTTGAATAATTTTCATTTCAAGTCAGATTTGCATAGTGGCCCGATTTTAATGCTCGCAAGTCTACTAATAATATACCATGAGGTTTTTTTTTCTCTGAACATAGGATAATTAATGTTAAGTTGGTTGCGTACCTGCTTGTAATGGATTGACTTGGACTTTTAAAAACTGAACATAAAATCTGATTGGGATTTTTCAGATTATTTATTATTAAATTTTTCGATTTTACAATTTCTCAATTTTTCAATTTCGCGATTTCAATTTCTCGTTTTTCAATTTCTCAATTTTCCGATGTTTCAGTTTTATGTTTTTTCAATTTTTCTCTTCAATTTTACGATTTTTAAATATTTCGATTTTTTAATTTTTTAGCTTTTGGATGTTTCATTTCTGGGGTTTTTCAGTTTGTTTTATTTTTCAATTTTTCGAAGTTTCAGTTTCGGGATTTTTCATCGATGAATGTTTTGATTTTCCCATTTTTTGACTTTCGACTGTTTCGATTTTCCAGTTCTTCAATTTTTAGATTTTTCAGGTTTTTGATTTTTCAATTTTTCTTTTTTTTTAAGATTTCGATTTTTCGAATTCATTTTTTGACTTTTCAATTTCTCAATTCTTCATTTTTTAATTTCTCAGTTTTTGGATATTTTACGTTTTTTCAATTTTTTTCTTCTTCAATTTTACGATTTTCAAATATTTGGTTTTCGCAATTTTTCAAATTTGACTTTTATAAACTCCATTTTTAATTTCTTTAGTTCTGCAATTTTTCAATTTTTTAGATTTTTGATTTTTCGACTTCACTTTGAAATTTGAAAAAAGAATGATAAACTGAAAAATCACAAAGCCAAAGTATTCAAAAACTGAAAAATTAATAAATTAAAAAAACGAGAAATCAGAAATTCAAAAAGTGAAGTCGAAAAATCAAAACTTAAAAAAATTGAAAATTTGAAGAACTGGAAAATCGAAGCAGTCGAAAGTCAAGAAATGAGAAAATCAAAACATCGATTAATTGTAAAATAAAAATAATTAAAAATCGTAAAATTGGAGAGAAATTTTGAAAATCGGGAAATTGAAAAATTGAGAAATTGCAAAATAGAGAAAAATTGAAAAATAAATTGTAATCTGAAAAATCCCAAAACTAAAATTTCAAAAATTTGAAAAATTAAAGAATCAGTGAAGAAGGGGAAAATTGAAAAATCTCAAAACTGAAACATCCAAAAACTGAAAAATTGAAAAATTAAAAAATTATAAATCAAAAAGTCAAAAAGTGAAGTCGAAAAATCAAAACCGAAAAAAATTGACAAATTGAAAAATCAAAACCCTAAAATACTGAAAAATTGAAGAAATGAAAAACCGAGTTTATAAAAGTCAAATTTGAAAAATTGCGAAAATCAAATATTTAAAAATCGTAAATTGCAAAGGATAAAAATTGAAAAAACGTAAAATATCAAAAAACTGAGAAATTAAAAAATTGAAAAATTGAGAAATCGAAAAATCAAAAAATCAAGTCGAAAAATCGAAACCTTAAAAAATGAAAAATTGGAAAATCAAAAACCTGAAAAATTGAAAAATTGAAGAACTGGAAAATCGAAACAGTCGAAAGTCAAGACATGGTAAAATCAAAACATCCATCGATTATTCAATAATAATAATAAATAAACTGAAAAACCCCAAAACTGAAACATCCAAAAATTAAAAAAATAAAAAATTGAAAAATCGAAAAATTAAGAATTTAGAATCTGGCCGGAGAGAGGCATCCCGCAAAATCTTTTACTGCAAAGGTTTAATTTGGATACATTAAGTACTAGAAGAATGACGTTACTTCTAATTTTTCTCTTCAAATTAACTAACGCCTCCATTGATTGCTTTGAATTACTATCCAAATTAAATTTCTATGTGCCAAGAATAAATTCCAGATATGCCACTACCTTGTACTGTCCTACACCTCGTACAAACATTGGTCGAAAGGCTCCATTGTATTTATTTTCGCATTATTTAAATAAACTGGAATCAATTAAATCATGGGATATATTTTGTAGTTCTATAACCCAACTGCGTCAAATAGTAGTAAGTTATGATCATTAAGAGATATGGTTTTATTTTTTTTATTTTTTAATTTTTTTAAATTTTAAGTTAAGGGGTGATGAAGTTTTAGATTTAGTTTTAATAGGTATATCATTTACACACATATATATTTAATTATTTATATTTTTGTTATGTTTGTCCTTTAAATGGAATGTAATTTCTGTTGGACAATAAATACTATTACTATTACTATAAATAGGTAAAATTAATTTATTTTAGTAAATCCTAGCAACTGTAACAATCACACTTTTGTCAAGACTAAATGTTGCTATAGAAACGAGAGATGATCTTTTTATCAGTGGCGTACAAGTAATTTGGACATAAATTTTAATAATTTGTATCTCTAAAAGGAGAACACTTTTACCTGAACTTTTGTTAACTTTTAGCACCCATACTTCGAGACCAATTGCTGATTTTATTTTGTACGTATTTTTGAATGACACGCTGTATAATGTTTAGAACAGTATTTTCTTAAATTGTATGACATGCACTCATATAATTAATAATTCATTTGTATCTTACATTAAAATTGCAATAATATTAAGAAGTTTCGTAATAAAAATCGTGTGAGACACTGAGTTGCCCAGTTAGTGGAGAAATGTCCACATACTAATAATATTAGGCAATTTTAGTCAAAGAACCCAATCCGCAAAACTCTAAAACCATAAATTATACAGTTACGACCGCCAAAGACCGTCTGCTTGGGGCAACACAGGACCGTATTTGCAACGAACGGAAATTTTGTAGGCACGCGACACGGCTTACAAGTTTACAAGGACCCTACTGCGAAAAGTCGACTCGGCATTGTCAACCAAATAATCCCAATTATGTCATAAAATTTTATTAGTATGCGTTTAAAGTGATCTTACAATACTTAAATATTCAAAATGCCAATTGACGTATAGGAATGGATTAAAACAACAAGTGATAGTAATAATTTGTTTGTATTATTTATTCATTATAATAATCCCATTTATTTTTTTGGAATCCGAGACCTGAAAATTGTTATAAAACGTGTTAAATTTGATAAAAGATGATATAGTGTCCAAAAGAGCCCTTAGCGAAGATAAAGAGAATGCGAGATTTGAAAGAAAAATAATAATTTGAAGAATAACAGGACTGAAGAAATTATAAGACCAAGAATATAGAAGATTAATGAATCATTAAAGAACAGATAAGGAAAAAGATATTGTGAGAACGATAAAAACAAATTTTGGTTAGCGTGATGCCGAGATTGCACGTTGAAAAAAAAACAATATATAGATTCTGTTGGAACACACAAAAACTGCGAAATAGACATTTTTGTTAAAATGACCCAATTAGAATAGAATTGTTAGTATTACTGACTACAATGTCGTGCTGTTCAAGCTAGAACACTTTCAAACATGTTAGCAACAAATCAGTTACTCCAGCAGTTGGTTTAAAAAGAATATAATTGAAATGCATAAACCGATTTGCTGAAAAAGAAAAGATTATTTTATGTTTAACTCGAGCATTGTGTTACCTCTGAAAGTGCTGACATTGACATTGGAAACAAGCCGCACACTGTTAATTCAATATGTTGTTGTAGCGTCTGGTACAGAAGCGTATCCCTCTACAATAAAGTCGGCGATCACAAAAAATAATATTTCCAATTTGATACACACCGCTTTTGCTAATCTTTGATCGTTGTAACAGATTTCGCATTCTGTTAAAATTCTCGCAATTTTTTTGGGCTAAAATGGCAAATGCGTTAAACAGTGCGATATATTTTTTGGAATATCTTACGGTTTTTTTGATATACATAGGTGGTAAAAGAGTGCAAATAATTTGTAGCGCGTGCAGTCCCAAAGACACTTCGTCTACAACGTTGTCTTCTTTATGATACATTAAATATAGTGTAATCATTCCACCTAGAATATCTCCAATTGTCAGAATCAAAACTGGTACTGATACCATATGATTAATATGTTTTGCTGTCTGAAAAACATCGTCGTACATTTCGGATATCATTATTAAAAGTTTCAATGGATCCTTGTTATGTTTTGTCAGGGATTTTGTTAGCTTCATCAGAAAATTTAGTTTTCGACCCAGAATAAAACAGAAGTAGTTAAGATACACTACTACAATCCCTATTATGATAAATTGGTATCCTTTCGACAGAAAATAACATGTTGCAAGATAGATTGATCGTTTCAAAAACCAGTACATAATGGTGGTGCAAAGCTGGGATACAATAATGAACGTACAAGCGAACATTACAAAAAAGTTATGCGTAGCGTAAGAGGATTTAACACCTAATGCTTTCATGTTATTGTCAAAGGACTGCATTCTGCGTATACATTCAATCAAATTGGTATGCTTATGCAACATGAGGGTAATGGTTAATGAGGCACCGAAGATTCTAAAGCCGTTGACAACTGCATTAAGTTTGCGGCCCTTGGACTGAGTAGATTCTTCTAGTGTAATAAGGACTGCATACGAAATTAACATAATCGTCGATATTACTGAAAAAAGTGATACGAGTGTGTTGAATTAACTGTATATAACTTACTTAAATTTGTAATTACATTTTTGAATTTTAATTGTAGTTGTTTTAATTTTTGGATGTGATGGTTTTTATATGGTGACATACCAAACAGTTTTCCAAAGTTTAAGAGGGTCAGAATGGGACCAGAAATGTCTACCATTTTACTGCAGTTTGTATAATGCATTGTACAGATTGGGTTCTATATTCTTAATGTATTTGTGATGATCAAATATCATGAAAGGTAAATTTTTCATGTAATGGTTATTATGACCTAGTTTCCAATCAGATCAACGTGAATTGAGATCGTCAAAAATATTGATAAATCGCTAATGTAATAAAAATTACTACATTTTGTGTTCCTTCCCGAGACTTGCTGGTATAAGGGAAGAACACATCGTCTTCCAAATTTGGGATCACAAAGACATTATGGGGGATAGCACATAATGGACCAGAAGATCTCCGTCTGCAGTTGTATATTTAATAGTTTTCCTCCCTCAATAAAAAACAGTGCTTGTTATAAGATATAAATTCGACTGTGTGATATCAGGTAGTTACAGCTTCCGTCATAACGGATATTTAAACATAAATTGTCAGTTTTTACACGCCATAACCATTGTTTTTTTGCAGATGAAAGTTATCAACAAAAACCATGCAAAATCACCAAGAAAAAAACTTTTCGGTAATACTGGACCTTTGCAAAAAATTGCTCTTAGACCGTCTATGATTGACCGGGCTTGCCTAAAGAAAGCAGTCTTTAGTAGCACACCTATGCCGCATAATAAACAACAGCCATTCACTCCGGATAGCTCAGGTTCCGTATCCCCAATTAGTGATTGTGCGAAAGAAAATGAATCAAAAAATTCCCAACCAATAGTGGAAGTAAATCGTTTGAATTTCTCTGAAGGGCAGAATAAATCTGTTATATCAATATCTTCGAACAATGTGTCTCAGGAGAAAGAAGGAAGTAGAAGTATGTCGGTTAAAAAGAATGCCAACGACTCGATTGTGAAAACAAAATCGATGAATGTGAGTGCAAGTGATGGCAAACGAGAAAAGTTAAACAATATCGTTTCTAAGTTGATTCTAAACAAATCGGTTGACAGTGTGCCTGCCACCACTAATAAACTCATTCAAACCTCGGACAATAGTAGAATGCACGTGCAGAAACCTGCAATATCCAATCAGCTTTCTAAGGCTCTTCTCAGGACAAAACCCAACACCCAAGTGAGGGAAACTCAGACTGGTACCTCCCTGTGTGGTTCTGTTCGTAGAAGAAGCTCGAGCCTGTCTGATATGTCTGATAATCCAATCAGCGTTTGTGAAACCAGTAGAATTTTGGCACTCAATCTAGTTGTGAATAAAAGTGATGAAAGTTCTTCCGATCACGATGTTACGCCGGATGCGGGTGTGCCTTGGCGAGTACCGAGTGGTTTACAAGATCATATACCTCCGGTTCCAAATGAGGACAGATTTCCCAATTTCTTGGAAGAAACCTTGGATGATGACACTTTCTTACCCAAGCCACCGAAAAAGAAAAAAGTATTTGTTAATAAGAAAAAGAAGGCTCAAAATAGTGAAAAAAAAAAGGTAAAAGGCAGGTGTTCCTCCGTGAGAAAGAAGACTCAAAAGGTGAATTTAGACGACGAAAGAACAAATGTTGAGGAATTATTGAAGAAAGAAAGTGCGCAGTCTGTTGCATGTACAAGTTTAGAGCCAACAGTATTGTCGACCAAAAAGAAACGTCGTAATAAGATACGAAGTACAAATCTGTTTCTCCACAATGGAACATTAGAGGGTGACAACGAGTTATTAACTGCGGATTCTCCCGTTTTTATCCCAGTTGTAAACAACAAACTGAGTTGTCTAGAGCAAGACAAAGCGAAAAATTCTGTCAAGGAAGATAATAACAATCAAACTTTCAGTCGGGTTCAAGACCATTCTATCAAGAAACGACGAAGTGTAAATAAAAAACGTGGTGCAGTTGGTGAGTAGTAAATGTATAATTCTTTCATTTGCACTAAATATTATTGTGTGTTACGAAATTAGTTAAAATTTTCTCTCGGGGTTGTCGGGCTGGATATAACTCGCGATTTTTCGTGTAAAATTTGCTATTCAGGCTTTTACAAAAAAGTCACTGTGTCTTACATATGGCATTTTTTAAGCTTCCACGCAAACTGTTAATTTTAATGAAAACGATGCAAACAGGACAATAACAAGAAGTATGTCAAAAACGCGAGAGCAGTCCCCACAAACGAAAGAGACTGCAGCGTCCAACAGTGAGTTAAATTAATAATGTAACATTTTTTAATCAAATTGGTGTTTTCAGATTCCGTTTTTGACAAAACTAATTCTGAAGTTTCCAGAAGCGGAAGAGAAAAGTATAAAAGTAAAAATGTCAAGGCGGCGGAAAAATCTGCAAAAACTAATTCACAAAGTCAATTTTCAACTGGTAAGTTTAGGGAGGACAAAAAATTATTTCAGCCATCTGTTAACCAGATAACTAACATAATATTTGAGATGAGTTTTGAAATACTTATGTGGAGCGACGTTACACACTTGAATCTAGAATTCGTGATTAATGATAAAAAATTTTAGATTTTGATCCTCCAGAAAACCGCGAGACGACAAAAGAAACAAAAAACAGTTCAAAACGGAAATTGGATCAAACTAAGGAGAAAGGTCGTGCTGGTAAGTTAGCATACATAAGTTTAGCTTAATTCATGTCTGGTAAGACGTTTTGATTGGAGATTCACGGACTTCAACATCGAAGTCGGCGGTAGTCGAAAGAAGAACATTGGAAGAGCAGAGCAGTGCAGAAAATATACAAGTGCAAACAGGTAATAATAATTTAATGAGATATTTTTTCGCACAGTTGTTTGTAAAAGGTTGTGCCAAAACACATATAGTTGCAAATTCAAATGTGATTGAAGTGCTCTAATTAATTTTTTTTTTATTTGAATATAAGAGGCAAAATTGTAGCGTTAATTCCGACACCCGCTCTGATTTTAGCTTTATTTTAAATGCCTTAACTCAAATAAATCTTAAAATGTAGATATAAATTGGACTTAACAGTACAACGTAATTTTGAAAAATTTCGGAATTGAGTCTATGATTTTTTTACTAAACTCGTGTTCAAAATTATCGTGCCAGCAAGTTTTTCTACTACATTTCCATCGTTAACAAAATAACGAAATTATGCTGCAAATCATGGTAGGCTTCTGTCATTAAAATATTATAAATTAGCAATTGTTGTTATTATTGCTTTAACACAGTTTGCACGCTGTAATTAAATTCTTGAAAATTAGAGTTCTTAATTTTTATTCCAGAGTTTAATATTAATTTCAACAGTTCAGGTTGTTGAAGGATTTTGGTAGTGATGAGATAATTTTGAATGGGAATTTATATTTTAGCGTTATGAAGTTAGGTTATCACTTATCAATCAGTCGGAAATTAATATCTTCCTTCAGCTATTTTCCTAAAAAGCCAAAAAAACGTAAGCATAGTAAATATAAAGCAAGTTCCAACTTTTTTTTTCCAAATTTCATTATTTGGAGACGATCAAGTGATAAAACAAGAATGCGATTGTGTCTAATTTGAAATCAGTTTTTACTGTTGCATTTTAATTGCTTAATTTTCCTGAAGATGTACCTGATGTTTCACAAGACGTCTTGGAGGAATTTAATGCTTCGGTACCCGCGCATCAAAACACTATTGGTACGAGTTCTTCAAAAAAACGGATAAACAAAAAAGAGGATTCAAAAATGAGTAAGCTGTATTTTTGTCGTTGGTAGTAGTGTGTTTAGACCATTTGTAGGTGTCTCAGATAAAACTAGAGATGTAGATGCCATGGTTTCTAGTTGAACTTACATTTTTTATATAAGTTTTATCTGGGACACCCAGTATCGTAAATGTGCGCCTTTGAACAAATATCACAAATAAAAATCATTTTACAGATGTAAATACTAAAAGTAAACGAAAAATAAAAAAGAAATCGAAAAATTCTACTGACATTCGTGAGTTTACCACCTCCGTTTATTTGTCGATTTATATATGAAAATTTTGTAGTTCAAGACTTGCAGTCGGCACCTCTCTCCCATCTGTCGACAGAAGACAACAACGTGGAACCTGTATTACCTGGAGAGAATGGCGATATTCAAAATTCCCTTAATTCGAGTACTTTTCCGGATCGTCTGGAGGAGAAAGGCGAATATTTAAAAAAGAGTAAGCTTAATTCTTGTTTTGTTCAATTGGTTAATATTTCGCACGTAGCAGTTAATACAAGCAAAAATCGATCCGCAAATCAGAGCAATATGAAAACCAAACAAAATGCAAAAACAAAGAAAAAGGACACCAAGGGTACGTTAATTATTCGCTTTAATTTATTTGTATTCATTTGTTGTGCATCAAACATGTAGTATCAAACCCAGAACTGACGGCGGAGAGTTCTTATCCAGATAGTGGAATTGGCACTAGTTCTTCGCAGTTGCAAACTTTTAAGAAACCCGCTCCAGTTAAAAAAAAGGCTCCTAAAGAAGGTAAGAACGCTTTCGTAAAGATATTCAATTGAAAAAATCGAAATAAAATAAAAATATTGACGTATTCAGAGTTTGCATTTAAATTTCAACTTCGTTTCAAATTTTAGTACTGGAATCTGTGTTAAGATGTCATGGCTACTTTCATGTTTTTTCGACGTGTCATGTCCTCTAGAGTATGAAAAAGTAGGTCTCACGTTTCCGTCTGTCTGTCGTCTGTGTCAATGTGTTGAATATTATGTAGATGGTAAAACGCTAATCGAAATTTACAATGTTTTATAAAATAACGTACTCCTGCACTTGTGGTTTATGAATCCGTATTGCGTTTTTACCCTAGACGTATAAATTAAAATTGGTGCATCTGATAGTGTCTTTTTTTCATAAAGAAACTTGAATATATACAACTTCCATTAAAAAAAGTACAACTTTGGTGCGTAACCTTTAAACGGGACACTTGTAAATTTGAATATAATTTTAAATTGTTGCTCTGCGCCAGAGTATTTTTCCAAAAATTTACCATAAATTTGTAACATTCCACAACTAGCTATTTTGGACATCTGTATATACGTTGATCTTCAAATCCTAGAGAATTTTTTTTTTCAAAATAACTTAATAGTGAATTTTCACCGTTTTGCACTTTTTATACCGTTTTTGTACTTTTAATAACTAATTCTGTATTTTTAGCTGAAGTTATTGAAGAACCCTTGATTCGTAGATCTACAAGACAGCGTCGACCAGCACCAGTAAAAACAGCAGGACAGATTATCTGTCGCAATCAAAAAGAATATGATCGAGGTAAAGTATAATTATTAGGTTAGATAGTTTTCTGATCTTGAATACTTTTAGAGAATAAATATTTCACTGGCGTTCAAAAGAAAAACTATTCAGTTAACAAAAATTCATCTTCACGAGTTTCAAAGAGTTCAACTCTACGAAATTCAAAGAGTAACAGTTCATCTTCATCTAATCGAGAAACTACCAGAGGACCCTCATGTTTGCGATCTACAATTAACACGTGTTCTCCAATCGCAGAAATCGGCGAGATAAATTTCGATGAGGAAAATTTACAACCCGTCGCACATCAGAGTTCATCAAAAGCCACTCCACAAAGTCGCAAAAATAAAAATTACGTATTGGGTGGAAAAGCGCAGAAAGTGCGGAACAATACGAAAAAACGCAGAAGCATCTTGCAGTCTGTAAAGAAAACATTGGAAGAAAATACACCAAGTGAACTGGTCGATTTGGTGGATATTTGCGTGGGCGACAAGATTCACTCAACTAGTGAGTAATTTGATTGTTTTTGCGGTTTATAATGTTATTTGTTTGCAGAATGGTCGGTAAAAAATCCAAAATTAAAAAAACTGAACGGTATGTCCGGTGTAAGTGCATGTGTAATTAGCGATTTTGCCAATGGTTTACTGAAAATAGACGGTGGGAAGAGTAAACCGAGGCAGGTGGCGATGCATCATCAGCTGGTTTGTTCATGTTTCTCTCGTTTATGCAAATCATATCTTTTTTTTTCAGTCTTTTTGTGTATTTGAAGGGCGCGCCCAAGTAGGAGTCCAAAACAAAAGTCAAATACTTACCACACTTGAAAATTTTGTTGTACCTGCAGGTAAAGCACTTTTAATTTTCAATATATGTGCATTAAATTTATTTTAATTTTCAGGCTGTGAATATTTTATTAAAAATCTTGATGACGAAAAACCTTTGATGCTCTTTTTTACGAAAACTGTAAAATCTAGTTAAGTGTTGTTACAATTTTCATAAGTTTACTAAACTTTTATATGATATACGATATTTTCACCTTGTTTGGTATCTTGGTTAACTTTATATTGTTCTGAAAAATAAACAAAAAAGAAAAAGTGCTAGGTATCTAATTTTTGAAGTTGGTAGTACTCAAATGTTTGTTATGTTTATCAATTTTATTGTGCGACGTTGTATTTTTACACATTAGCATCTAAAGTAATGTAAAGTTTCAACCGGAAATAAATTGAACCTGAAGAATTATTGTCCTAACTAGCTAGTAGTCTCCCAAAAACGGGCGAAACTAAACGAAACACCATAAATTTGAAGCTTTGCGGAAGTTAAGTCTCACTGTAATGGGAAAATTACTACGTGCGAATGTGAAGAGCGTATACAAAATGAGTTTACTATAGTAAGATAGCGTAGGTTAATTCAGATTTTAAGTTTTTTATTTTAACGGTATGGAAACATTGACCTGTATATTAATTTATTACAAAATATAGATGGTAACCACACGATCTATTCAAATTAAGGTTCTTTTTATTAACTTAATTATGACACTTAAATTATCATGAAAGTGATGATTTACCTGCAATTCTTGTCACAAGTGTAATTATGAATATCAAAATGTGGGCAAGTAACGCAATTAACGGTTGTTAGAATTACTGTGGTTTTGAATTTCATAGCTTTACACACTGTTTATCTTTTTATTACTGAGCGTAAGCAAAGAAAGTATTGTAATAGGGTTCGACCGGCAGTTTGCTTCTATGGTTTCTCGACATTCCATGACTTCTAGAGTATGAAACAGTACGTCTTCCGTTCCCGTCTGTTTATTAGGCCGGCTTGCATCTTCGTGAGTCTTCCTCGTCGAACTCTGTAGACCAAGGGGTTGGGGTGTTCTTCAGCTTTCTTAAAGGTGCGAAGTGCATTTTTGTGATGAAATTGCTTTAACTTCGGAATGTTGGGCTCCCGAAGGATTTGGTTGTTCCTGACTAACCAGGAGGGCCTGAAGACTTGTCGGAAAATTTTTGTCTGGAGGTTTTCCAGACGATGAAATTGGGTTTTGGGAGGTTCTTAGGTCCACGCTTGTTCTTGATCGACATTTTGCTGCATCTGTCGATTAGAGGCGCCAGGACGCCTTTGATTCCGTTCGTCTTGGCTACAATGAAGTCAATCTGAGGAATAAAGAGTTTTTTGTCAATGAAGACACCTAGATATTTTGTTTTGTCCTGCTAGGGAATGATCTGGAAGAACATCGAGACTTGTCGTCACTTTCCGTGATGAAGAGCGCAGAGCTTTTATCGGGATTGACTTTAATGAGCCAACGTCTGCACCACTCCTCGAATGTATTATTCGCCACCTGTAAGTAAGTAATTTTAGTCTGCGTAAATTAATGGTGAAAATGTCAACTGAACATAAATTATTATTCTAATATTTCTACAGATAGATAATATTGGTGACTGCGCATAATGGTGCGTACTCGCTGTAGATAGATAAAATGTGTACTTCATCCTACTATTTATTCTTGGGACTAGTAAATTAACCGATGCCAATAAGTACTGTGGTGACCGAATTTGAATCAAATTTTCGCGCTGAAATTAATTAACAGCGGCGCGAAATTACATTTGAATAATTTGAATTTGAGAAAAAACGTCGTTAAACATAGGCAACCATGTGCACGTTAGCGCTTTATGGGTAGTTCATAGCTCGCTAGGGGATGTTTTAGTTAGAGGGTGGTAGAGTAGACAAGACAGCGGTATGGCGAGAGCTTGGTGAAAGTGTGATTATTGTTTGGTTCGGTGTTGTGTGAGTATGGTGAAAAGACGCTGTAAGTTAGCTAGGTTAAATTAGTTGGTTTGGTACTTAATCAAAGGGAGGAAGCCTTTGTTTAACGAAAATTAATCGTAACGATGACGTCACAGTCTTCCCCATTACGCGCAGCTAATCGGAAAAGGTGCTAATTTTCGATCGACGCTACATGTGTTGTAAATTTGTTTTATTGTTTGTAAAGTCACCGATCAGGTTAGGATTTTAATCGTTAACTGGTTCTAACACAATGTAACAGACATTTACTAGGAGATTTCAAGAAATTCACTTAGTCAGGATAACACACTTTGTTTACAAGTTATAAATGAGGTTTCTGGATGCTAACACTAGAGTGTTACATTATAATACTTCTTAATTCTTCACACAAGATTTTTAATAGTTCATTTACGGCCGTTAAATTAACAAAATTCATACTGCAAACTGGCGGTTGGTTAAAATAATGTCTTCTCTTAGGCGGTTATCATCGTTATTATCATCGTTTTCATGATCACATCACTGGGGCAGTCCTCACCACCTTAAAGATTTATTGCTTCATCGAGGCTTGCCCTCACAACGCTACAGATTGATTACTTCATCGAGGCTTGTCTTCGCAACGCTAGAGAGTGATAACATCAACGAGGCTCCTCCCACCGCTAAAATATACATCATCGAGGCCATTCCTCGCAACGATTTAAAATTTACATCACCGAGACGATTTTTCCACGCGACGATGATTGGATATTTTTGTGTTTATTTATTATGTGTTTTATTGGGGTAACCAGTTCGCGGTATTTTAAACTCTCAAAGCAAATTGTTTTTTTTTTTTAAGTAACCAATCATTTAGATCATGACATAACTTAGCATAATGTAAACTCTTTGTTTGAATCGTTGATAAAGTGTGGCAAATATTAATCTCATGTAAGGACCATGACATAATTTGACATAATGTAAACTTTTTGTTTAAATCGTTGATAAAGTGTGGCAAATATCAATCTCCTGTAAATTTTGTTAACTTTGCAATTTTTCACCTCATACAATATTTTTCTAATCTCACAATTTTAACTTCAGTAATTTTCCTTTGTTGTATAATTTTCATTGAACGTAAATTTCATTCACTGCAGTTTTAACCTCACATAATAATTTTATTTGTCCAAGTTTATTTCACCCCAGATCTTTTGTTTTATAAATCTTTGCTAGTTTTGTTTTGTAAATATTTTGTTCAATGTTTCCGTCGTATAAATTATTTGATGTTAATTTTTAATCTCACATAAGATACATTTGTTGTTTAAAATTTCACAAGATTGGATGGCGAATTTAAATGTTGTTTATTGCTATTTTGAAACTTTAACACTTGTTCAGTTGTTATTAATATCAGAGTTAAAAGAAATTGAACATTTAAAAAAATGGAACTGAGGTTAAATAACACCGAAACACGTAGCAGAAGCGCAGCGCGCGGCTCCTAGCGGTGGCTATCGGGATTATCGCGTCACATGCACAAATCCGCAGGTTTGTATAGAGTCAGGGGCGGTCGCCGATGTTGTAACGCTGTCGATTTGGCCCAATAGTCGAGACCCAACTACCGATCTGAGATCGTCACAGCATGTTCGTAATGGAGATGTGCGTGCGGGTAGGCTTTGCGATAGATAGAATCACCGTCGTGGGGGGAGAACAGCCCCAGACCGGTAGCCCCAAACTCCGCTTGTGCTAGAACGCCCCAGGGGTACTTTGGTTGTGCTCCTGTTAACTGCCGTAACTTTAAATTTGACGCCACACGCCCGTAATAACTTGTGTATTTGCATTCAGTTACTTTAATTCAGATTTTCCTTTGTTTTTATTAAATTTGTGATATTCAAATATTTGCATTGATTCCAAACAAATGTATAGGATTTTGGGTTTGTTCGTTTTTCATATGCGTATGTCTGTCAATTCGCGAGTGTTTTTTTTTTCTTTCATATATCTTAAGGTGTTTGAAATGTAATATGTCAGTGAATATACGATAGGGGAGTTGTTTTTGGAGCTGAGGAGTGAATCCTCGCAGCTTCTTTCCTCCTGAGAGGGGTGCCATGTTAGCCCCTCCAAAACAATTTTGTCCATTATTTCTTGCGCTCTCAACTCACACGCAGTATATGCTCACTTGTATGAAAGAACGCCTTCCCGCCATGTAAAAAAAAACACAACATAATTTTCCATTTTGTTAGACGATCACAGCCAAGGCCAAATTTTGAATTTTTAAATTTTTCGCGGGACTTTTAAACTTGTTCAATTTAAAGGCGGGAAGTTTGGGTTATCACACTTTCCTTAGACAGTTATCATCGTTATTGTCATCGTTACATCACCGAGGCATTTCCTCGCAACGTTAAAGATTGATTGCATCACCGAGACCTATTCTCTCGCAACGTGGAAAATTACTTCACCGAGGCATTCCCTCGCAACGTTAAAAATTACATCATCGAGGTATTTCCTCGCAATGCTAAAAAATACATCACCGAGACGCTTATTCCTCGCAACGCTGACTGGATATTTTTGTGTTTATTTATTATGTGTTTTGTTTGGGGTAAGCAGTTCACGATATTATAAACTCTCAAAGCTAATTGTTTAATGTAACCAATCGCATGGATCATGGCATAATGTACCCTCATATAAATTATATTTTTGAATCGTTGACAAAGTTTGGCAAATATTAATCTCATGTAAATTTGTTTGCAATTTTTCACCTCAGACAATATTTCTCTACCTCACAATTTTAACCTCAGTAATTTGCTTTCTTGTATAATTTTGATTTAACGTAAATTTCCATGCTCTACGGTTTTTTACCTTACGTAATATTTTTATTTGCGCAAGTTTATTTCACACCAGATCTTTTGCTTTCATAAATCTTTGCTAGTTTTTTTAATGTAAATATTTTGTTGATGAATGTTTCCATCGTATAAATTATCTGATGTCCAGTTTTAATCTCACATAAGAATTATTTATTGTTTAAACTTCCACAAAATTGTATGGCGAATTTAAATGTTGTTTATTGCTCTTCTTGAAACACGTGGCAGAAGCAGAGGGCGCGGTTCCTAGTCGAGCTAGAGGGATTTATCGCGCCATCTGCACAAAGGATGCAGGTTTTTATATAGAGTCAGGGGAACGATTTGGATGACGTGATGCTGTTAGCTTATTTATAGCCGCGACTTCCAACGACGAGTTTGCGACCCCAACGGCCTGGGTAGCGCGGTACGTCTCTTCGTTAGATAGAGGGATGCTGAGCGGTAGTGCTTGCGATAGATAAAATTACCGTCGTAGGGGAGAAGAGCCACGACCGGAGCCTCGAACCCCGCTCGCGCTACAACGCCCCTATGAGTGTTTTTGTTGTGTTCTTGTTGACTGCAATAATCTTAAATTTGCCGCCACACGTCTGTAACAACTTGTGTATTTGCATCTAGTTACTTTAATTAAGATTTTTATTTGTTTTTATTAAATTTGTGGTACTCAAATATTCGCACATTTGCATTGATTCAGAACATTTAATTTGATTTATTATTTTGGTTAATAATACCACGGCATAGTTACTATTAATTTATTCACTCATATCACCACTACAACCCACTTCTTGCTTACTACAAACCCCCGATAAGTCGGTACTTATAAGGTAATAACTGATTTTACACATCACTTATAACTATTTTTATAAATACATTATTGACGACCTTGTAACGGACAAGCATTTGGTGACTAAA